AATTATAAATGGAATTGATTCCCTGATACCTCTTTCTGTTGCTTTATTGTTGGTGTATAGAAATGCAACTGATTCTGTACATTGATTTTATATCTTACGACTTTGCTGAATTCATGTGTCAGCTCTAGCGCATTTTTGGTAGAGTCTTTTGGGTTTTCCATGTAGAGTATCATGTCATTGCAAAGAGTGAAAGTTTGACTTCTTTGCCAATTTGGATGTGTTTTATTTTGTTACGTTGTCTGATTGCTGTGTTTTACATTTATTTGTTAAAATTTTTTAATGTTTATTTTTGAGAGAGAATGAGTGTGTGTGTGTGTGTGTGTGTGTGTGTGTGTGTGTGTGTGTAAGCAGGGGAGGGGCAGAGGCAGAGGGAGACACAGAATCAGAAGCAGGCTCCAGGCTCTGAGCTTTCAGCACAGAGCCCGACGCAGGGCTGGAACTTGTGAACTCTTAGATCATGACCTGAGCCAAAGTCGGACACTTAACCAGTTGAGCCACCCATGTGCCCTTACATTTATTTTTAAAGAAATAAATGAATATATTCTTACTGCAAAAATCTGACTACACAAATAAAGCAAAAGTCTTCCTTGAATTGCTTGCTAGAGGTCATTTCTGTTACCAGTATGATGTACACTTTGTCCTTCCTGGGTTTTAAGTTTTTAATTTTAATAGAGTTAACATACAGTGTCTTTAGCTTCAGCAGTGAATCAGCAGCTCTGTACATTACTCAGTGTTCATCAGGAGAAGTACTCTTAATCCCCTGCACCTACTTCGCCCATCCCCCTCCGACCCCACCTCCCCTCTGGTGACCCTCTGTTGTCTGTAGTTAAGAGTCTGTTTGGGGGAGCCCTTCTGTTTTTTTTGTTTTTCTTTTTTCTTTAATATTTATACACACACACACGCGCACACACATATACACATGTGGTTTGGTGAGTGATATTTTAAATTACAATATCAGGTTTTCTGCAACTATTTTTTTTAACTTAGCAAATATATCTTAGAGATATTTCCTTATTTTTTTTTTTATGTTTTATTTATTTCTAGGAGAGAGAGACAGCGTGAGCAGGGGAGGGTCAGAGAGAGAGGGAGTCACAGATTGAAACAGGCTCCAGGCTCTGAGCTGGCAGTCAGCACAGAGCCCCGCGCGGGGTTCGAACCCACGAACCGCGAGATCACAACCTAAGCGAAAGTCGGAAAGTCGGACGCTTAACCGACTAAGCCACCCAGGCGCCCCGAGATATTTCCTTATTAATACATGTATATCTTGGGGTGCCTCCATGGCTCAGTCGGTTAAGTGTCCGACTTTGGCTAAGGTCGTGATCTCAAAGTTCGTGGGTTCAAGCCCCGCGTCAGGCTCTGTGCTGATAGCTAGCTCAGAGCCTGGAGCCTGCATCAGATTCTGTGTCTCCCTCTCTCTCTGACCCTCCTCTGCACACTTTCTCTCTCTCAGAAATAAATAAAAAAAAAAATAAAAAAAAATTTAAAAATACACGGATATCTTAACTCTAATATTGTATTCCATGGTATAGATAAACCATAGTGTATGTAACCATTTACTGTTGGTGAACATCTGCATCGTTTGTTATCAGACAGTTATAAACAATATTAAATATTCCTGTTTATGCATCTTATTCTCTAGTATGAGAAAAAAAATTACTGTTTGATAGGGGTGTGTGTTTTTAATTTCAGTGAGAACTGCCAGATATCCTTCAAAAATCTGGTACCACTCTGATCTCTTACTGTTGATTTTCTATATACCATTACCAATTTGTCTTAATTACTTTGGATTGTTAGCTTTCTTTTGTTTACTGACTTTTGGGAGGTCCCCTTTTAAAAGAAAATATCTGTTTTCTTTTTTATATGTTATAGATGTTTTCTCCTACTCTCTTATTTATGATATATTTAATCACATATAAGTATTTAATTTTTTAAGTAGTCAAATTACTATTCTTTGTATCTTCTTTTTTTAAAAAACATTTATCTGAGAGAGAGAGAGAGAGGGAGCAGGTGTGAGCAGGAGAGGGGCAGCTAGAGAGGGAGAGAGAGAATCCCAAGCAGGCTCCATGCTGTCAGCACAGAGCCTGATGCAGGGCTCCAGCTCACATACTGTGAGATCCTGACCCGAGCCAAAATCAGAAGTTGGACGCTTAACCAACTGAGCCACCCAGTAGCTAATGTTCTTTGTTATCCTCTTTAATTTTGTTTCTTGCATAACAGAAAGGCTTTCTGAACTCAAGGTGTATACAAATACTTTTACAATTAAATACTAGGAAAATGATTAAATTCTATTGTCCCAAAGACATTTCTAGAATTTTGTTTCTACTCTTTTGGAATACTACCTGTATCATAAGGTTAATTCTCACATATATGTGCCTCTGTTTCAGAACTTGAACTCATTTCTGGTCCACCCAACTAATTTGTCTACTGCCAGTATCACACGTTTAAATGACCTTAGCTTTATAAAAATTTTGCTGTTTAACCAGGAGCATTCCTCCACATCAATATTTCTTTTGTACTGTGTTACAAAATATTACATAAATTCCTCTTGGTATTTTGACAGTGATTATACTGATGTTTAGATTAATTAGGGGTAGTTTTGCAGTATTGCCTTTTAATCTAGAAATCTATTGTACTCCTGTATTAATTTAGATCTTAAACGGCCTTCACTCTCAAGGTCTGTGGTTATCTGCCTGAAGGTCTTAAGGTATTTCTTTTCTGTTGAGTCTTTAAAAAAAATTTTTTTTAATGTTTATTTTTGAGAAAGGGGAGAGGGGGGAGAGGGAGAGAGAGAGAGGGAGACACAGAATCCAAAGCAGGCTCCAGGCTCCGAGCTCTCAGCCCAGAGACCCATGCTGGGCTCTAACCTTTGAAATGTGAGTTCATGACCTGAGTTGAAGTTGGACGCTTAGCGGACTGAGCCACCCAGGCACCCCTCTTTAGTGTTGATTCTTGAAGATTTTATTATCTGTTTGTTGCTGTGGTGATGGGACTTTGTAATTATTTATTGCTTGTGTATAACAGGTTTTTGATTTTTTATATTTCACTCTTTTAGTCCTAAAACTGTACCAGGATCTCTTTGTTCTGATAGTGTGTCAGTCAATTCTCTTGATGTTCTAGAGCTGCTGTGTCTGATAGAAATGTGAACCATAGATGCAAACCACATATGTAATTTAAAATTTTGTACTAGTCCTATTGAAAACGTAAAACCAGGTGAAGCTTATTTTAACAATACACTTTACTAAAATACGTCCAAAACATTATAATTTCAACATATAACCAATACTTAAAAATCGGAGAAGATTTTTCGCTTTTGTATTAAGTCTTCGGAATTGAGTATTTTATACGTACAGCACGATGAAGTGAGGACGAACCACATTTCACGTGCCCAGTACCCACAGTGGTTGCTGGCTACTCTGTAGGACAGTTGCTTGCAAATAATGAAATTTTTTTGTTTTTTGGGGGATGGGAGGGGAAGTCCTTTCTCTGCCCCCTCTTACTTTAACACTTCTACCCAGAGCACCAGTGGTGATGGTGGTGATACCATTAGGGGCGTACTTCTGTTTGACCTTTGTGGAGTTTTGATTAGATGGACTTTAGAATCCAAAGAGGTTACTTTTCCTTTCTAGCTTGTAAGAATTCTTAATAGGTTTTAGATTTAATTTTAAAAATTGGAGAGATTATCTTTTCCTCCGTGTTTCTACATTGAATAACAAGCATACCTCATTTTATTACTTTGCTTTATTGTGCCTTGCAGATACTGTGGTTTTTTTTGGTTCGTTTGTTCGTTTTAAGGTTTGTGGCAACGTTGCATTGAGCAAGTCTATCAGCATCGTTTTTTTTGCTCACTTTGTGTCTCTGTGTCACATTTTGGTAATTCTCACAATTCTTTAAACTTTTTCATTAATATATTTGTCATAGTGATGTGTGATCAGTGATTATAGCTAGCAGAAAGCTCAGATGATTGTAGCATTTTTAGTAATAAAGTATTTTTTAATTAAGTCATGTAAGTTGGGTTTTTTTTTTTTTCAGACGTAATGGTATTGGACACTTCATACACTACAGTATAGCATAAACAAAACTCTTATATTGTAGTGGGAAACCAAAAATCTCATTTGATTCACTTTATCACAACACTGTTCACTTTGTTGCAGTAGTCTGGAACCAAACCTGCAGTATCTCTGAGGAATGCCTGCCTGCAAGTTAATAGATTTCTAAAATGATGAACAACTCTCGTATTTCAGAGACAAAACTTTCATGATCATGCTGCGTTCGTTCTTTTAACAAATTTTTCTGTAAGATTTCATCTTTTGTTTGATTGAGTCCATCTATAAACCTCTCTTTTCATTTCTCCCTCTTGTTTTAAACCCTGTCATTGTCCAGTTTCTGTAGCAGGGAGATTTTTCTGATACATGAGTTGTCACGTGAGCTGTGTAAATATGTCTCTGGTTGTGTACGTTGGAGCTGCTTATATAACATGGGACTTGTCTGTACAGGGAGAGCTTGGTGGACTTATTTGTAAGCTTTGGACCTGATTTGGTTTTTAGGGCTAGCTCTTGGACTCCGTTTTCCACTCTTCCAAGGTTATTTGTTCATTTAGGCTTTTGTCTTTGGCCAGTTTTGGTATTTTGTATCTTCCTAGATATTTTAGCATTTTGCTTGGGCTTTCAAATCTATTGATGTAAGGTTGTACATGAAGTTTTCTTATAATTTTGTAGGTGTTTTGATATATAAAGAAAATCTAGAAAGACCGAAGAAGCTTAGCGATGGTTATCTCTGGGAAGTGAAAGTAGATTATAGGGGTAGGGTATGATGGTCTTGAAAAATATTATATCCTTGGGCAATAAGAGACTTTTCATGTGCCGGACTTCTTTTACTTTAGTAGCCGAGAAAGAGTGTTATTTCAAAGCGTTAAATACGAAAAAGTGTACAATATCGTACAGAGGTATGTATTTCTGTCTTCCTAGTCCCAGCACTTTTTAACTGTGTGTTTTTCTCTCAAGCTGGCCTCTGGACTGTCTTCACACTGGGCGGCGTGGGCAGCAAAGCAGCCGCCACTCCAGAACTTTCTTCCCCTCTGGCCAACCAGAGTCTCCTGCTTCTGCTGGTGCTGGCCAACCTGACCGATGCTGCAGATGCCCCGAACCCCTACAGACAGGCCATCATGTCCTTTAAGAACACACAAGGTTTGTGCTACTTTGTTCTCTGAGTATTCTTTCTACTGAAGAATGAGGGGATTGCTTACCCGTGTTGTTTATTGTTTTGTAGTTGTGGAGATGAGCGTTTGTATATTTTCATACTGGCTAAAGATGAGAAAGAGTTAGATGTTTCTTTTTTTTTTTTTTTTTAATTTTTTTTTTTTTAATGTTTTATTTATTTCTAGGAGAGAGATAGAGACAGCATGAGCAGGGGAGGGTCAGAGAGAGAGGGAGTCACAGACTCTGAAACAGGCTCCAGGCTCTGAGCTGGCAGTCAGCACAGAGCCCGACGCGGGGCTCGAACCCACGAACTGCGAGATCATGACCCAAGCGAAAGTCGGATGCTTAACCGACTAAGCCACCCAGGCGCCCCAAGAGTTAGATGTTTCTATCCATAGTCTCAGGAAGGTCAAATAAATCTTAGATAAGAGCTGGGGTTCTTTAGATCCACTTAAATTTACTTTTTTTTTTTTTTGGTCCAGAAATAACCAAGCCAGTCATGTGCTTAATTTAGATCCTCCTGCCCCACCTATTAGGGATAGGAATTAACCCGGAAAACTCCATGTGATAGATTCTTTGAAGTTTTTCTTTTAAAGTTGGTATTCCAGTTAGAGTTTTATAAAACTAAAAATTAGAACTCAGTAAACTTTTTCTGCAAAGGGGCAGACCCCTCTGTAGGGGCACGTGGTGTCTGTTACCACCTCTTAAGTTGGCTGTGCTAGCACAAAAAGCCAGCATAGATAATAAGGACGTGAGCATTGCTGGTCTCTGTTAAAACTTTATTTCCAGAATAGGTGGTGGGCTTGCCTGTGGGCTATAACCTGCCCTGTAGAGCATGGGTAGATAGGCCCATGTTGAAAGAGAAATGTCCAATCAAAAGATTACACTCCATAAGCCAGGTTAATACAGTAGCTGGATGCATTTAACATTAGTATAATTCACATGGGTAAGAAGAGAAATTATTGGATAAGAACATTTTTAAAATTGCTGACATGTTTTGCCATGTTCCTTTCCAGAGTTCTAATACACATTTCTTTTTTTTTTTTTTTCTTTTAAGTTTATTTATTCACTTGAGAGAGAAAGAGAGTGGAGAGAGAGAATCCCACGCAGGCTCCATAATGACAGCATGAAGCCTGACCTGGGCCTTGATCTCATAAACCTGTGAGATCATGACCTGAGCAGAAATCAAGAACCAGAAGCTTAACCAACTGAGCCACCCCAGGCTCCTCTAATAAACTGAGTGTGCCAGTTGGGTGTACCTTTGCCAACTCTGGTATCACTGTTTGTAGGGGAAAATAATGATAGGTAGTCTCTAGCAATCTGATAGATAAAAAATGAAAACTCATGTATTTGATAGTACTTTTCTGTTTCCATTATATTCCATTGTGGCTTACTGGTTAAGAAAACAAGTTTTGCAAAGCAGATGAACATATCGGCTGGGAGGTATGGGGATGGAGACAAAAGAGAAAGGGAAACAAACCATAAGAGACTCTTAGAGAACAAACTGAGGGTTGATGGAGGAAGGTAGGTGGGGGAGGAAGGTAGGAGGGGGGTGGGCAAGATGGGTCCCGGGCATTAAGGAGGGTACCATATGAGCTCTCGGTGTTAAATGTAAATGATGTATATGTTATACGTAAATGATGAATCCCAGAATCCTACTCCTGAAATCAATATTGCACTGTATATTAACTAACTAGAATTTAAATAAAAATTTGAAAAGAACAAGAAAAGCAAACAAGTTTTGGAATCAAGCAGACGGAATTTATGCCACCATTCTCTCACTCCAGAGCTGTGAAGCTTCTCACAGTTCACTTAACCTCAAGCCTCCCTGGCTTTGTCTTTCAAATGGGAATAATGTTACCTAATATTTTTGTAAGTACCAAGCAAGGTAAGGTTTTAAGATGATTAGCTCAGGTTTTGCAACATAGCCAGATACTCAATATATGGTACATATTGTTACTTCTGATGCTGAGGCCAGAGGTCACTATTTAAGGTTGACCCTTTCTCGGGTAGCCATATTTTTGGTGGATGGTTTGGTGTAGGGATTCTGAGCATTGACTTTAGGGTTAAACTGCCTTAGGTTCATATTCCAGTTTTTATTTTTTTTTTGTCTTTAATTTTTTAAGTTTATTTATTCAGAGAGAGAGAAAGATGGAAGGGCAGAGAGACAGGGAGATAGATAATCCCAAGCAGGCTCCACACCACCAGCACAGAGCCCGACATGGGGCTCATACCCACGAACCACGAGATCATGACCTGAGCTAAAATCAAGAGTCAGAAGCTTAACCAACTGAGCCACCCAAATGCCTCCAGTTTTTAGTCTTTAAATACCAGTGTCTTTAATCTGGAAAGCAGGGGTTATAATATCTACCCCACAGGATTTTTATAAAAATTAAATGAGTATTTATCATAGTAAAGAGTCATTCTATTATTGCTATAATTGTAAGAAGCAGGATAATGAAGTCATGAAAGAGAGGGTTTTACTTGGAGCTGCTTTTGGAAAAGTTAACCTCTCCAAGCCTCTATGTCATCCTTTGTGAAGTTGGTCAGAATAATGACGGGTCCTTGTATGCATTAAATAAGACATAATACATGTAAATCTGTCAGTATAATAGCTAGTTCACTGCACTTGTTAGCTAGTAAAATATAAATGTTACGGATACACATATCACACATATACCTTTTGCAGTTAGGTATAATACAGCTTGGCAAACAGGTTACTTTGCTTCCATTGTAAAGAGGCATAGTGTGTCCAGAATCTTCTTCCAGAGTCGCGTGTTCTGTAGATGTACTCATTTGCATACTCACAGATTACATGCAATGCTTCCTTTCGCTGTCCTTTGCAAATATAAGTTAGTCACACAAAACAATGATTTTTGTAACTGTCAAAAATACAGTGTTAGCATTGAAAAAATAACCGATATTCTAAATGTGGGAGGAAAAGTGAGGGCACCTTGTGGTAAAGTTGAAGACATTATTTTATAGAATTCTCACACACATACAGGTTAGAAAGGAGACTCTAAGCGGTATGGGACTGTGCTATCAAAAATGCGTTGGCACACCTTTCTTTTCTGTAAGAGTGAAGCCTGTGGAGATTCTAAAGCAGTGCTTTTACAATTTTACTTTCACTTGTTTATTATTATTATTTTTTTTGCTAGTGGTTCTGTGTCTTTAAAAAATGTTTTGGTTCTTTCCAAGATATTGAAGATAGTAAAATAATCAACTTATTGTGCTATCATGTTCCAGTGTTCTTATCCAATAAGATTATACTTAGATTCTCTAAGTCAGTTGACCTGTCTTTCCCTTCTTTTTGACCTGCTAACTTTCTGGCTTCAGTGTCTAAGGAAGTCCAGTTAATGGGAGGAAAGGGGCCTCTGCTCTGTCAGTTTTGCGGTATCAGGAATTTTCCCCACATGGGCTGGGATTTATGGTTTTTACCATGCTGGTGACTCTAAAAAAATATTTATAGGGGCACCTGGGTGATCCAGTCAGTTAAGTGTACAACTCTTGATTTCGGCTCAGGTCATGATCTCACAGTTCATAGGTTTTGAGTCCCACATAGGGCTCCGTGCTGAGAATGTGGATCCTGCATGGAATTCTCTCTCCTCTCTCTGTCCCTCATCTTCTCATATGTGTGCATGCTCGCTCACTCTCTCTCTCACAGTAAATAAATAAACTTGAAAAAAAAGATTTACAAAAAAAATTATATACGTGTTTGGATAGTTGTCTGAGGCTCAGTATCTGCTACTATAGACGCTGATGCTGATAATACTTTACAACGAGCTGGGGAACCTGGCTGGTGGAGTGTACAGCTCCTGATCTCAGGTCCTGCATTCAAGCCCCGTGTTGGGGGTACAGTTTACTTAATAAATACATTTTAAAAACAATTTAAAAGTAGTTAAATAATATGTTGTTATCCTAGCTATTTTCTTCATAAATAGATTAGTGACATTGGTGAATACTTGAGCCATAGTTATTCCTTTGAAAAAAAATTAGCTCGAAGCCCTTTTTTCTCTTTAGCCCTTACAAGAGGATTTTCTGTTTTATGTAGAAACGTTTATATTCTTTGTCTCAGTGTTCTTTATTTAGGACTGGTGGTCATTTAATTTTAGTAACAGAACATTTCAGATGTCATGGTCAAATTGTATTTATTAAAGGGCCTTTGGCCTGGGCCCGTAACTCTGTTTATTTAAGCTTATGTTCTTAAAACCAGTTTAATTTAGCTATATTAATCCAAAAATAGTAAATGAAGGCAAAGTATGTGACTTAGTTTAGTTTTCTTTATTTCGTTTTTTAAAATATAAAACGTCACTCTGTTAAGTGGTATCTGCACATATATTTATAATCATTCAAAGACTGTGGTTTAGATAGTACCAAGAAGTAAACTGTCCCAGTTCCACCCCCCCCCCCCCCCCCCCCCCCCCCCCGCCACACGCACACACTGCTTTGGTGAGAACATCAGTTCTATTCTCTTAGCAAATTTCAGTTATACAGTGGTGTTATCAACTATAGTCACCATGCTTTAGTTCTTTAAATAAAGTTTAAAATTTAAATAGAAGGAGAAGGGGAAAAATAGTTGGGGAGATGGAGGGAGGCAAACCATGAGAGACTCTTGAATACTGAGAACAAACTGAGGGCTGATGGGGGTGGGGAAAGCGGAAGGCGGGTGATGGGAATGGAGGAGGGCACTTGCGGGGATGAGCACTGGGTGTTATATGGAAACCACCTTGACAAACTATGAAAGAAAAAAGAAACAAAAGTAAAATAAAATTGAAATAGAAACTTTGAACCTGAAATGTAGCAAGATACGAGATTAATGGGAATCAGATTGTATACATTGCCAGTGCTTTTATTATTTATGTGAGGCATGGTCCTGAAAATACTAACATGGTATTTCATGATTTTGTGTTTCCTGTGATCCAGATAGCAGTCCTTTTCCCTCGTCAATCCCACACACCTTCCAGATTAACTTCAACAGTTTGTACACAGCTCTGTGTGAGCAGCAGACATCTGACCAGGCGACTCTCCTCTTGTACACGTTGCTGCATCAGAACAGTAATGTTAGAACGTACGTGTTGGCTCGGACAGATATGGAAAATCTTGTAAGTACCATACCACCCATTTCATCCCTTTTGTATTGTGTGGGCTTTTGAAGAGCAGTTTCTTTTCCCAGGCGAGCAGGCGTGGCTGGCTCATGGCAGTGGTGTTGGTTGGAGACTGATGGGGATCTGCCAGCAGGCACAGGCAGGGCAGGAGGCTGACAGCGCACGGGACAGCGCACATGCAGTGTGGCCCCAGCGCAGGAGGACACAGCGGCGCGGCCGGCTCCTCTGCGCCACAGGTCTTTAACAGCTGCCCAGTGCCCGTGATCCAGCCCCATCAGGTCTTCCAAGAAGCACTGCTTTCCATCCGCAAGATATGTACACCCGGGTGGTTCTTTCCAGTGCTGGGTGTCCACCTAGCAAGTTCGCATAGCTAGTCCTGTTCGCAGCAAGTTCTGATAGACGCGGCTACGATCTGGCAGGGTGGTATTCCAGCTTGGTTCCCTATGTGTCCCGTCCCTTCAGCAGACTTGGACTTGAGGTCTGCCTGAACTCAGTTCCTGGAATGTTGGAGTTTAAGGTACCTGTGCCAGACAGCACTTCAGTGTACTCTGTCCTTCACAGTGTGGCTGAAAACCTCCTGTAGGGAAGCACAAGTTCCGTCTATAACGAATGCGTAAACAAAAATGCTCCCGTGAGTGGGAAAGTAACCTTACCTCACCAAGGTGTTAATATTATATTTGAAATGCATCCTATAGAGATACCCGTGGGCTGTTGATACATTAATAACATTGTGCATTCCTAACAGAGCCAGCGGTTTGCTGGAGGCAACAGGAATGCTCCCTCTGTACCAGTTTTTATAAGTTGATAGCAGGATTCACCAGGGATTTGGTGGCCATTTTTTCAGTGTTAAAGATAAAATAAAGATAAAAAGATAAAGAGTAACATGGAGTATTAGAATTCATTTGAAGAGTATGTCCTATGTCAAAGTGACAGAAAAGACCAAAAACATGCTGAACAAACCTGTCTGCACACCAACTGTATGTGGAAAACAGTAAAATCGATGTAACAGTGTTCTGCTCGTGTGAGTAAGAGCTTGGAGAGAAGGCCTGTTGCGTGATGGGTAGGTGAGAATAAGCAGACAGTTCTGAGCCTGATGTATCCTAAGTGAGATGGTGGCAGTAAGCATAAAGCCCCTGACACTATCTATTCTCGAAAGTTCCCCTGTAAGGATGTTATTACATAAGCATATGTAGGCAGTAGTCATCTGTAGACGCTGACATAATGCCAGTAAAAACTGAAAAGGTTTTGTTTTGGGTTTTTTTGGAATAGGGGTGGAGGGTTACACGTTTACTTTTGTTTCCAATTTCTTGTATAGATTATTTTGATAATGTCTCAACTAATGTCCGTATCTGCCTTTTGTTCCATAATGTTTAGTGAGGCTACGACTAGAAAATATATTATTGGCAGGAAATTTGCTATGCTGATCTGATTCTGTTGTTAACAATTCAGTTCTTTTATTCCACAGTCTTTTCTATGAAGAAGATAATGTTCGACACATTAGTGTTTCTAAGAATACCTTACTGTGTACATATTCCTGCTGAGCTGGAGGTATATCTCCCTGTGCTCAGGGTCACATGTTGGCCCAGATGGTCTCCGCACACCCGGTCTTTGTGTGGTGGCCGACCTTCACACAGGGTGACCGTTTTCTCTACTGCTGTCCGGGCTATCTACACGGAGAAAGTATTTTCGGTCATAAGCTGGTTTGTGTGGTTTTCTTTTTCCTTTAAAGAAACCTATAATTATGAAATTAAAACAGTATGGAATAAAAGCATTAAGGTTGAAAACATTGGTCTTAAATAAAGTAATTGGAATAGTAAATTAAAATTTTTATTTGATAGGTTTTACCAATTCTTGAGATTCTGTATCATGTTGAAGAAAGAAATTCACACCATGTGTATATGGCCCTTATAATCTTACTGATCCTTACAGAAGACGATGGCTTTAATAGATCCATTCACGAAGTGGTAAGTTATCATTATTTAAGAGTGTCAGAGTTACAGAATAGGCATGTCCCTCCACATGATTTACTGTGGCTTTAGCATTTCTCCCTTCTTTTCCTTCTGGTAGATGTTTCTGCATGACCCCAACTCAGAAATGGTGTGTCTTTCTTCAGATTTACGAAGTGCTTTTTTTATGAGTGACCATTAGCCTGTTAAAAATTCTCCAAATTGGGGCACGTGGGTGTCTCAGTCGGTTGGGCATCTGACTTTGGCTCAGGTCATGCTCTTGTGGCTTGTGGGCTCCAGCCCCATGTTAGGCTCTGTGCTGACAGCTTGGAGCCTGCTTCGGATTCTGTGTCTCCCCATCTCTCTGTCCCTCCCCTGCTCACCCTCTGTATTTCTCTGACCCCAAAATAAATAAACATTAAAAAAATTAAGGGACCCCTGGGTGGCTCAGTCAGTGAAGCATCTGACTTCAGCTCAGGTCATTATCTCAGAGTTTGTGGGTTTGAACCCTGCGTTGGGCTCTGTGCTGACAGCTCAGAGCCTGGAGCCTGCTTTGGATTCTGTGTCTCCCTCCCTCTCTCTGCCCCTCCCTTGCTTGTGGTTTGTTTGTCTCTCAAAAGTAAATAAATATAAAACAAATTTTTTAAAATTCTCAGATGGTTTCTTGTGGTGCCTGGGTGGCTCAATTGGTTAAGTGTCCGACTCTTGATTTCGGTTCAGGTCATGATTCCATGGTTCATGGTGTTGAGCCCTGCATCAGGCTCTGTGCTGACAGCATGTAGCCTGCTTGAGATTCTCTCTCTCTCTCTCTCTCTCTCTGCCCCTCCTAGGTTTGTGCTCTCTCTCTCCCAAAATAAATAAACATTAGAGTGGGAGAAAAACTCTTAAAACAGTTTCTTTAGTAATTGAGGTATATGTTTTTGTTGTCACTGAGTTCATTTTTCCTCTGTTTCATTTCCCCTTTTTAGTTGTGGCAGAAATTGTCAAACAGGTTTGCCTCTTGTATACAGAGTAAGTGAAAGAATAGGGAACAAAGAGAAGACTGAGAAATTAATTGTTTTGTATTTTTTAAAACAGTATAACATAACTTAAGTCTTTTCAGTTTTAGTCCTTTTGGTGAGTACCAATCCAAAACTGATTTTTATCTTCCTCTTTGATATTTTCTTTGTGTCCAAGTAACACAAGTACATAGGTTTTAGTTTGTTTAATTCTATTTCATGTTTTCTTTATTGTTAAGGGTGGTGGGGAGGGCGGGAGACAGAGCCCCAGCAGGGGAGGGGCAGAGAGAGGGAGACACAGAATCTGAAGCGGACTCCAGACTCCCAGCTGTCAGCACATAGCTGGACGCCAGTGCTTGAACCACAAACCATGAGATCATGACCTGAGCCAAAGTCCAAGGTTTAACCCACTGATCCATCCAGGCACCCTTATACCCTTATTTGTTTTTTTGTTTTGTTTTTTTTTTATAGATTGTATTTTTAAGTAATCTCTCTATACCCAACATGGTATGGGGAACCCTGAGATCAGGAGTTGCATGCTCCATCAACTGAGCCACCCAGGTGTCCCACTCACACTTCCTTTTAAAAAAATTGTTTTTTTGGGGGGCGCCTGGGTGGCTTAGTTGGTTAAGCATCCGACTTTTGCTTAGGTCATTATCTCGCAGTTCGTGGGTTTGAGCCCTGCGTCAGGCTCTGTGCTGACTGCCAGCTCAGAGCCTGGAGCCTATTTCGGAGTCTGTGTCTCCCTCTCTTTCTGACCCTCCCCTGCTCACGCTGTCTCTCTCTCTCCTAGAAATAAAAAATATTTTTTAAAAAAATTGTTTTTTTGAGGGGCACCTGGGCGGCTCAGTCTGTTACATCCAACTTTGGCTCAGGTCATGATCTCATGGTTTGTGGGTTTGAGCCCCACATCGGGCTCTGCACTGATAGCACAATCTGCTTCAGATCCTCTGTTCTCTCTCTGCCTCTTGCATGCGCTCTCAAAAATAAATATTTAAAAAAATAAAAAATTGGGTTTTTTTTCTTATTACTGAGTTGTAAGCTTTCTGTATGTATTCTGAATCACATGGATTTTTTTCCCAGTCTGTTAATGTAGTTCGTTATACTGATTAAGTTTTGAATATTAAATCAACCTTACATTCCTGGGATAAACTGCACTTGGCCATAGTATTTGGTTAAGTTTTGAACTCTGATTGTTTGTATCTTTCAAGGAATTTATTATACATTCCTTCTGAGGTATTGAATTTATTCCTGTAGAGTTGTTCATAATGTTTTTTTTAACTTAGTGTTTTTTTCTTATTACTGTTTTTTCCACTTACCTTTTTGTATCTGTACTAGCCATAGAGATGTTATCACTCTTGTCCTTAATGTTGGAATATGTATCATTTCTCTCTTATTCTGCCTCTGCCTGGCTAGAGGCTTTTCCTTCCTTCCTCCTTCCTTCCACCTTTCTAAGTCTTTTCAAAAGACCAACTTTTGATTCCATTCACTTTTCTCGATTTTCTTCTATTTCATTGATTTCTACTTTTTATTTCCTTTCATCTGCTTACTTGAAGCTTTAACTTGCTTTTTTTTTTTTTTAAAGATTTTTAGAAGCTTAGACCTTTGATTTTAAATCTTTCTACTTTTTTACTATAAGCAAAATATATGAAAACTCATAAAAATGATAACCTCCTAGAAAGATGATCAAGAAGAGAAAAAGTTACAAACATATATTACGGAGAGTGTGTAGGAGATCAGGACAGGTCCCAAAGATATTAAAACAACGTTCAGAGGGTACTGTGTGTAATTTTATGGTATAAACTTTAAGTATTAATTGAAATGGACAGATTTCCTCCACTCCTAGAAAAAAAATGTAACCAAAGCCCCCAAAGACACAAAATCAAAATAGTCCTGTTTCTGTTAAAGGAACTGACTTTGTAATGTAAAATCCTAAACAGAAAATTATTGGCCCAGCTGATTTTTAGCTATGGTTTCTTCTGAAAATTGGAGGAAGAAGTAATACTAGTCTTCTAAAAGCTCATCTAATGTCTAGAAAAAAGGGAAATCTTTCCAACTCATTTTATGAGTAAAGCATAATCCTGATACCACATTTATCAAAATCTGATAAAGGAAAATTACAGGTGGATTTTGAGTTGAGTGGCAAAAATTTATTAAGTGGCATAAATGTAATCATAAAGCTTATAAGTTTAATATTATAAAATGCAATAAAGCAAAGTAGTAAAAAGAACAGATGTCAATAGCAGTGTTCCGGGAATGCAAGGGTGGTTTAATGTTAGAAAATCTCTTAATGCCATTCATTTAAAAAAAAAAACATAAATCATGTCAATAGATACAGCAAAGGGATTTGATAAAATTCAGCACCTATTCATGATAAACAAGGCAAAATTCTCACAAAATAAGGGTAGAAAAGAAATTCCTTGTCTTAATAGAGTGTATGTACAAAAACCTGTAGTTAAAGCATGATACTTGAGGGGTGCCTGAGTGGCTTAGCTGGTTAAGTGTCTGTCTCTTGATCTCGGCTCTGGTCATGATCTCCTGGTTTGTGAGATCGAGACCCATGTTGGTCTCTGTGCTGACAGCGCAGAGCCTGCTTGGGATTCTGTCTCTCCTTCTCTCTCTGCCCCTCTCCCACTTGTACACACTCACACACTCTCTCAAAAATAAGTAAATATTAAAAAAAAAAAAGCATTATACTTGATTGGAGAATTTTTTTTTAATGTTTTATTTATTTCTGAGAAAGGGAGAGAGGCAGTGTGAGCAGGGGAGGGTCAGAGAGAGAGGGAGACACAGAATCTGAAACAGGCTCCAGGCTCTGAGCTAGCTGTCAGCACAGAGCACGATGCGGGGCTCAAACCCATGAACCGTGAGATCATGACCTGAGCCGAAGTTGGATGCTTAACTGACTGAGCCACCCAGGTGCCCCATAGATTGGAGAATTTTAGAAATATTCTCTTGAAAGTTGGAACAAAGAGGATGCTCTGTGTTACCACTCTTCTTCAGCACTGTATCAGAATTCTGAGCAGGTCATTTGAACTCAAACAAGATGTAAATGGTTTAAAAATTGAAGAGAGGAAATCTAAATGTCCATATTTATAGATGTTGTGATTGACTACATGGAAAATTCAAGAAACTCTAAAATTAGAACTGTTAGGAAAGTTGAGTGAATTTTCTGCTTCCAAAGTTTGTATTCAAAAACAAATATAATTTTTACATACCACTAACAAAGCACTTCAAAAATGTGACCTAGAGGTACTTTCTTTCTTTCTATCTATCTATCTATCTATCTATCTATCTATCTATCTATCTATCTATCTATCTGTCTGTCTATCTATCTTTCTATCTTTCTATCTTTCTATCTTTCTATCTTTCTATCTATCTATCTACCTATAAATATTGCACATGCATGAGCAAGTGAGGAGGAGAGAGAGAATTCCAAGCGGGCTCCGCACTGTCAGTGCAGAGCCCAATGTGGGGCTCGATCTCACGACCTGAGATCATGGCCTGAGCTGAAATCAAGAGTCAGACGGTTAACCAAATGAGCCATCCAGTCACTCCTAGAGATAGTATTTATAATGGCAATAATACTACAGTGAACTCGGCCAAAGTACCTAAATGAAAGATACTAAATTGTGATGTAATAAATGGAGAGAAGATACTATCTTGTGTTTATGGACAAGAGGATTCAGTGACAGAGTTGTTAATTTTGCTTTCAAATTAATCACTATGTTCAATGCAGTTCTTACCAAATCATAACAGTTTTTTGGGAGACTGATAAAATACAGTTTGAACAACATGGATTTGAATGTGTGGTTGTACTTGGACCTTTTCAATAAATACAGTAGTGCTCACCACTAAGTTTTTCAGGAGTGAAAATTTTGTTACACATGGATTTTTTTACTGTGGAGGAGGGTGGGTTCCCCTAACTTCCACACTGTTCAAGGGTCCACTACAATCCCTGAAAGCATATGGAAAAGTATTTTGCGCAGAGATTTTTTTGGATAGAAGCAATGTGGAGTT